GCCGTCACTCAACTGTCGCGCGCACCTCGTCGTCGCAGCGCGGCGCGGGCGCGAGCGGCGGCTGTTGGCTTAAAGCCGTCACGGGGCGAGCACCTCACGCACGAGGAGAGGCTGTCACGGGGACGGAAATGTTACTGCAGGTGACGCTCACCTGGCGCTCGGTGGTTTGCTGCTCATTTACCACGCAAAATATTAACTTGCATTCTTAACCCACGCATACTTTCGTTAAGTGTTGCTAAATATTTGAAACAGGAAATTTTTGGATTAAAGTAGGAACTTTTCTTAAGTAGTAAAAAATTGAAAGATGAATATTTCACTTCAATAAAATGATTAAATTTATTTCCATTTTCATTCCTTATATTAATATTCATTAGCATGGTTTTCGAGAAACATTACTTACAATATTTTTTTGTTACAATATTTTGCACTTCAGTGAAACATTTATTAAATTAAATAATTGGTATTATAAAACCTGTACCATCTTATAAGAGAATGCGTCCATCTGATTACTCATTTAAAAATTTTCCGCGGGATCTTCTCACCCTTAATCCTACCACCCAGATGGGATTCAATCCTTCTTCTCATTGTAAGTCAAGTCTCATTGTAAGGCCAAGCATTGTTGTGTGTCTCAGCTCAGATATGAAAGTGACAATGTTCGAGCGCGGAGTGAAATAAATAAAACTCATTGTGACGCATCAAACTACTAACTTAAAACCATCCATCCACGTACATAGTTCTTGCACGGTTGTGCACAATATAATTTTATTAACGCTAAATAGTAGTTATGGTTCATTCAAATAGGAAGAAGAAAACAGAACTGGACAGACAGGAATAATTAAACCAGAAAATATCCAAATGGAAAATAAATAAATACACCCTCTGTGCACTTTTAAGACTACTGCAGTCCAGGATGATAGAGTATAATGCAACTATTTTTTGTTTCTCCTCGGAGGGGAATGAAACGGGAATAGAAAGAAAAGAACGCACCCTGTCCGTGACCACTTGATTGGGAACGTGCTCCGGCAATTACCTGGAGGTAATCAAGGAAACAACGAACAAGCGCAGACGGCTTAGGAATTAGATTCCTTCAAATGAATTCGGTCCCATGCAGTCATATCCCATGCAGTATATTTCTGGCAACTTGCTGGCATCGAAATCGCGACCTTCCACTCACTGGTGCGCTCGGGTCCAAACGCGTTGCCTTCGCGCTCGCAACTACAGCGCTCGCATAGGTCCCGCTGAATAAACGTGGCAAACTACTACTGGGTGATTACAATTTTGCCCCAAAATTGATGTAAATGTTTTTTACTGGGTCTAAAGCGTCCATTATCAGAGACAGTATTATTCATGCTATTATAATTCGCTGAGTAACCTTAACCACCTTTCGTACTGGCGTAATTGAAATTGCGAGATCTGCGAAAACGGCCAGGAACAAATCAACATTTTAACCTCTGTTATACCAAGAATTTATATCAATCTGTTAGTTAAGGTTTCATAATGGAAAGTGATAAATTAGATGTCTGCGCTGACCTGATTCGAAATGTGGAAAATCGCATAGCAGATCGGGTAACTCACTCCCTTACTCGTCCAAAGTTTTGGTTGAGAAAAAATTGATGCTTTGAAAGAGAGATTTTGCTGAAATTGATTATATAAAATAAATTTTGAAGTATATGATGCCAAAAACTAAGTGACATAAATGTAATAATATTGTTCAAAGTTTCAACAAAAAATATGAGTAACAGTTTACATTTCGAAAAAACAACCTGCCAACTCAAGGGATAACTCCTCTACCAACGAAGAAGTACTTGCTTCACATAACATTTATGTATCAGTTCTTTCCATTCGTTGACTGACACTGCAATAACTCCAATTTTAATTTATGAAATGCATATAATTTATTCAACAAGAATAACATAAAAAAATATATTTCATCCAAAACGTAAATGTTACATAAATATATTCAGCATGTTGAACTCTGCATCCCCAGCAGTTATATACTCGCAGCGATAGTTTCTTGGTAGAAAAATGGGCCACTAAGTGTCGTACTTCAAGAAAGTTTGGCATTTTCGAGGCCATGCAAACTTTCTGAAACCCGCCTCTTTTCAGAAAAGTACGTGTGGAATACTTGTAAAGAACTGAGCATTTCACGAGAGAAGCGGAGCGCAAGCGAGACTATGAGGAGTGTCGTGGAGGTCAGAGTTTCTGCTGGAGGCGTCGTCGTTTGGGCGTGGTGAACGTCGTGCTGCGCGAGAGCATAGGCGGCGCGTAGCGCTTGACGCGGGCGCTCGCCAGCAGCACGGCCTTGGAGGAGCCCTCGCCCCCTCCCGGGCCGCTCTGCTCCTTCTGGCGGTCCTTCTTGTCGCCGGCGGCGGGCGTGCCCTTGCCCTTGGCCCTGCCGCTGGCGTTGGGGTCTGAACCGGAGCCCTTGGCGTCGCCTCGGCCCTTGCGCTTGCCGCTCAAGCCGCCCCCGCCCCCGCAGGGGCAGGTCCCGCCCGCGCAGGGCCCGGCGCTCGCCGCCCCGCCGCCCGTCGCCTGGCGGCCGCGCGTGCTGGCTGCGACGGCGCCCTGCGGTCGGTATGGCCGTTGCTTCCCGTGGCGCTGCCCCGGCCCCTGCTTGCGCGTCCGCCTGCGCCGCCGCCGCCTGCGCCCCGCTGCTCGTCTGCGGGGCTGGTGGCGCCGCGCGGCGGGTCCTGGGCTGCTGGCGTGGAGAGGTCGTCGTCCACGTCCACGAGAGGCGTCCGCTCGTCGCCCTCCCCGTCGCTTGTCGCCCTCGCGCGCTTAGCTGCCGGCCGCCTGCCGCGCGTCGTTGTGACAGAGGTGAGCGTCGGTGGTGGCGCTGGGCGTCCGAGTCGCGTGGGACGCCACGCGTGCGCAACGGGCCGAGGCGGCGCGGGCTGCGTGGTGGCGGGTGTCGTGCGTTGCGAGATCGGCTTTTCTTTGCGTCCGCGACAACGTCTTCCCCGCCCGCGCCAGCCGTGCTCCGGGAACGGCCACGCCCACGAGAAGGGCGATGCCCGCACTCCCACGCAGCGTGGCCTGCGCCGCCGCGCAGGCTGTTAAGTAAGTTGCAGCGCGGGCGCCGCCAAGCTGGTAGTAGACGGTTCCGCTTCTGCGTGGGCCGTCATGCTGAGCTCAGCTGCCGCTGCCCCCTGGTCTGCAACGACGCGCTCAATTAATTCCAGCGTCCTTTCTCGGTTCTTTTTCTTTCAAGAGGTCTTGGCCGCAGCTGTCTCCATGTTCACTCATTTGAAAGGCTTGGACAATGATGTGGTTTGTTCAATTATCGTTGTGAAGAATGAATCAAGTAATGCGATAACTTTTAATTAAGATCTGTCTTAGAAGTAAGTACATGCGGTATTAGCCTTGACTTGTCTTCAACTGTTTTTGCACACAATCCTGATAGAATTCGAAAATACTTTTCGGCGGTAACTCTTTCGGTACTATTTTCCGAATTTCAAAGCATGTAAAATAATATTCGCAAACCTAAGTTCAATTTTTCTATCCATGTCCTTTTCACTTAACTACGTAATCATTTATGTTATACCAATATTTATCGAATAAAATTAGTGATATTTTCATCTGCTTGTTCCCTCATAGTGACTAATGCCTGCGAAATATGCCTATTTCTCTCACACTTGTATTCGTCAATGTAAAGAGAATACTAAACTTTCTATCAAACTCCGAACAGAAAAATTAATAATATATATTCTAGTTTTATAAGTTAAATTATTAAATTTGTATATCTATTAACGGACAAATTTGCACTAAGTTGTTCAAATAAAATATTGTGCATTTGTCGCTAAAAGTGACTTTTCCATGACACGATTCCTAACGCTTCGATCAATTTTGCCTCCAGGAACTTCTCCCGTCTCATCTAGGTAATCGATACTTCCTTGCTAATTTTTTAAATTTATCGATTTCTTGAGTTGCCAATTTTGTTTGTGGCTGCCCACTGGGGTTTAGCTTCTCACGTCCTCATTAAATAGCAAAAGAATTTTTTTTTAAATATATCAACCATTGATTTGTCTTTTTAAATCAGGGCAAGTTACATTTAAGAGGGTCCGTTTCATCTATTTCGAGAGAAAGTTGTAGTTTTAAGAACTCACTAGCTTATTGTCATTTTCCTAAATAATGGCATCGTGGTTATACGTGATAATGATCACTTTGACATATCGTGTAACGATATGGAATTCATTTGTCTTCGTTAAATAAAGGGCATGTTTCGAAACTAATAGCACATACGCACTCGGACGGATTATGCGACGAAAGCGATTTCTAAAATAACACGCATAAGTTTTCATAACCATAATTTTTGGAAACTTTGCGTTGCTGCAAGTCAGGTAATTATCTATTTGGTATGATTAGAATAATATGTTTCAATCATATCTAGAGTGTCGAAGGAAAACATAATTGTTATAGCGTTCTTCCCACATTTTTCAATAACGTTCCTCAGTTTAATGCAGCCGTGTGCGGAACTCAGGTAGGCGGATTTTGCCGATTTGCTAGTTACAAAAGAAGAAGTACGTCAAGTTTCGCCACATGTCTCTCTTAATCCCGAACGAGGGAATGAAACAAGACATAGGTCCTGGGGCAATTGCCGGACGGGACAATTGATAACCCCCCCTCCCAAAAGTTGCCGCTACGTCCCATCCATCCACTCACACTTACTTGTTTTGCACTTCACTACAACGGAGTCGTCCCGTCTGACGCCTTTTTCCCGGCCACCCTACGCTGGTGGAATCACTTGTATCTCCTGGATGTCCCGAAGTGGTGGCGCAAGCTCTGCAAGGAAGTTGATGGTAGGGCTTGACGGAGAGGCAGCGTTGCCGCGCGCGGGCCGGCGGTCGAGCGGCTGCCGGTGCGAGCGGCTTGCGGTGCGGGGCGGAGCCGCCGTTCGGCCCTGGGCGGGGCGACGAGGGCGCCTTGGGGCGGCCGCCCGCCTCTCGGCCGCGCCGCCCGCGCCCTCTGGCTGCGACGCAGTGCGGCTGGCTCGCCGACCTGCGGCATGCCCCCGCCGGCCCAGCCCTCCGCGCCCCGCCATCGCCCTCCGCTCTCGTTGCCGCTGCGCTGCCTGCGCCGCCCCCGCTGCTGTTGCTGGAGGCGCCGCCGCCGCCGCCGCCGCCGCTGGAACCGCCGGCCGCTACCGTCACGGGCACCGAGTTGTACTGTGCGTAGATATGGCGGCGCGCGCGGGTCCCCAGGCACGGTGGCAGCCCGTTCGTCAGCATCGAAGCTCTCGAGGGGGAGAACGGGAACGGGTCGGACTTCAGCGGCTTCCTCTCGTTGATCGATTCTCCCGAGGGATTCCCAGGCGTGAGAAAACCCCCGGGGTTGTCATCGCCGACCATCGTTTCTCTGCGAGCACGCCACGTCCACTATATTCAAATGGATCTAAGCAGTTCTTTGAAACGAGTAGGGACACTACTTTACGGCAACGACGTAATATGACGATAATGTTTTATACCTAAAAAGCCTTCAATAATCATCAGAAAATAGCCAACAAAGTGTCATAAGAAGACTTGGTTACTCCTTAAAAACAACCACGACAATTCTTCACATATTCGAATTCTATCATTTCTAGCTTGAACTCTCACTCCAACAAATTCAAAAAAACTAGAATACCAATACATTTGTCTTGTTGAGACCAATTGAACGAGCTCACCACATCTGTAAATGCTTTCAAACCACCGAAAAATGTTTTATGTGTTAATCCCTCTTGTAAAACATAATAATTAGATTATTAATTAGTTTTTAATAATTAGAATGTCTCTAAGATTCGAAAAAAAATGTTCGTCTCCTTACCAGGAGATGGAGACGGGTCAAATGTCCCGTTTCTTGTTTCCACTGGCAGAGAGGAAGGCTCTAATCGGGAGTGATTGTCCAACGAAGGTTACTCTACTACCACGCAAGGATATTGGATAAAGGCATAAACGAAATTTATGTTTTTTGTTATTTACTCAGCGAAAACAGCGAAATCTTCTTCTACATTACTAGTGCCCAAAATATTTCTCTCTGCTTTTTGTGTAAAAAGTCTCAACACGACGGCTTATTCCCCATTCTTCGAATGAAATTTGAGCACACAAATTGTTGTTGGTAAACGCGACAAATACATATTGACAGTTAAAAATACAAACTGATGCATGATTGAATAAATTATATTATTACATCAATTTACTTTGTTACGTAGGAAAATAATTTTTCATTGTCCTTTAATATTTGAAATGAGAAGATCTAAAAATACCATAATTTCTATACTACATAATATAATCACAATTCATTTTCCGAAATATTCTTGCGGATATATTTGTGTTATCTTCTTAAATTTGTTCAAAGAATTTGTTGCCTCGACCGGGATCCAATTCTTTGAACAAATTTAATTATTAAAATGCATTGTACTCAGTAATGTGGTCACTATTTGAATTTTTGATTGCAGAATATATTTTCCGGGCGTATCATCGTTCAACAAGATGATGAGAATGGTGACAATTATATATGTTATTTTCCTTAATATAAGAAGCATCTATTTGAATAATTATTACTTTAGTGCACATCGGTTGTTTTTATTGAAATCAAATTCAAGACTGTTCATAAAACGACGTTTGCTACCAGTGTTGCACAAAAAATTTTTTGCTGTAAAACTGTGTGAGATTTTGATTCATAAATCCTAGCAAAGCCTTCTCAGTACATGATGTAATGAACTTTAATATCAGATCAATAATAGAGTATTCGCGTTTTACGGGTTTAGACCACCAATGTTACGTTTGGTTATCGGCGACTAGAGAATGACTTACGTAAACTCTTAGATTTTTTTCAATATTTATGGATAACAGGGGAAAGAGGAATAATATCAGTTGATATTTTTATGTTTCATTAGAATCACTATTAAATACATGTTATGAATAAGCGCAAAATTGATTTAACATGGTATTTTCACAATGTTAGATTACCGTACCAAAGAAAATGGAATAGTTAAACCGGTAGTTCTACCAGCTGAAAATACAGATTTCCAAATTTGTGATTTCATAGTCAATGTTTGGAGTTCATTAACTGAGCATACGAGTACATACAAGAGTATGATACACGAGTTTGTGTTTGGTATTCATAGACACGGATTCTCTGCGTTTATTGTACGTACTAAATATGAGTACTATAGTAAATATTTTACTATAGTTCTACAGCATAAAATACATTTGTACTGCAACAGAGATTTAATATCTGAAATGTTTACAACATAAACTACTTTTCAGACTTTCAATATGTTTGGAATGATCTAACACAGGATAATATACAATATCTATAACGAACTAAATATGTTTGTTTCTTTTGTTATAGCCTTGTTGTTCATGAAGAGTACTGTGTCTTTTGTTAATACAAAATATTTTTTTCTAAATTATCCCTAAAGTAATATACCGTATCAAATTAAGTATATAAAGACAACATACTATGATTCTAAAATACTTCTACATAGTTACATCTATTTCACCTTAGTTCTCTCACGTTGCTTTGCATACCACTTCAAGTGTTGTAACTTTTAATATCGGATATTACATTCTATACAGTGTGCGTTAATGAAGACGTTAGAATAGTTTGCAATTACAATGTTCAATGATTAATTTTAATACAGACATTGGAGTACTGCAGTTGTATCACTTGTACTTTCAAGAACAGTTAGGATTACACTTCGTACTACTTTCTACATAAAAATTGTTATTGTTTCTTACTCATCGTAATCCATAGATGACCAGGAGCGACAGATCTGTAAGAAGAACAAACAATTGTAATAGAACTACATGTGGCATTTATTGTACATAAAATAGCATATCTCACCAAATTTTGGTTCCGAAGTTTGGATTTAAATATTTGTCCTTTTTAAACTTTTTCCTTACGAACGGAATTACAACCGACATTTCTGGTCAGAATAACATCGCTTTCCAGGCTTAACTATTGACATTTTGAAGTTGCTATGAGATGCGTATACATTGTCAATAAACACGGCCTTCTGTATTAAAAATTTCTTGTTTGTAATTTAAATAGGCCTTGAATTAAGAGCAGGACTATAAATCCAACAAAACAGAACTTTCAGCACAGTGTTTATTTCTAATTAGCAATAATAAATGTCACATACGAATAATGTAGTAAGAGAATTCTGAAAATGGTATTTAAAATAACCGTTTTTGAACCTTATATTAAAGAAACACCAGTATATCTCATACAATAAGCTTTTACGTAAAATGCAAATATTAAATTTTTTCAATTTCTGTTCAAAAAATCACTAAGTAAATTTATATTTGTACATCACATTAAAAATACAACGAATTTGAATATTTAATGTTGTTAGAACTGATTTCAAAATTAATTGAACTGAAGGAAATCCACCGTAATATCACGGACAGTATAAATGTAAAAAAATGTGGTAATACATATGTTCACAGAAATTTTGATAATTTGTGCTTAACATTGCCATCACGCTTCTACATAATACAATTAGCTCAAAAACTTTTAATACGAGTGAGTTCATTTTTTTTTAAAGAAAATGTGACCAAAAGCAAAATCATACGCCATTGAAAATACTCGATAGTAGACTATTCAAGGAAATGGCATCTTGACTTTACAACTTCATTTTAGATTAGATATTGCAAATTATTCACAGATAACCATTTAGATATTTTATGTATTTAATAAATTGCATTTCAAATGAGAAAGGTTTGAGACATTAGAAAATGTATTTAGAGAAAAATATGTGTAGAAAGAATTGGACTCCTATGAAGCATTAAATATAACGATGATGATGAAACAGAACGTACAGAAGCAGCAAAGTCATGATAACAAAACAAACAAGGAAGGTTGGGGGTCAGATTTTCTCGTGAGGCGATGAAATTTGCGAGCTTGTGTCCTTTCTCACCCAGACAAAAGGCGAGTGTTCCCCGAGGAGCTAGCAAAGGCTGTTCAACGCGAGCGCTGTGGAAGATGGACTTGTAAATTTCTCAGCGCCGTCGACAGACGAAGGGCGAGGGTGCGACGCGGACGTGCGGGCAACCGACTCGGTCCGCAGCGCTGCGGGAAGGGTGGGGGGCGGGGGGCGGCCAGCTCGGCGCGGCGCGGCGCAGCGCCATGCATCTTGCATAAGCCGTGCAGTGTTTGCGTCGACACTCCCCGATATTGTTTCCGCTCCTTCCGTGTAGCCGGTGCCGTTTGTCTGCCCGTGGCTGCGCACGTCGCTGCCTGCGCCCGCCCGCTGGCCCGCCCGTGACGCAACGCGGCCTGTGAAGCCCCAGTGCGCCGGACGGGCCATCACTTCGCCAGCGCTCCTGCGCCCGGCGCCCAACGAGTCCTCCCGCTCCACCGCAAAATCAAGAAGGGAACGCTCGAAGATATTTTGCGTTATCACAACCTACCAATAATCAATATTTTAAGAAATAAAAATGGATTGTTTTTCGTAAATATTATTTTTTAAATTTCGTTTGATTTATTTATTGATTTATTGATTCCGCGAATAATTTAACAGGTAATAATTAACATATACTTATATTAATCGTCTTTGATTTGATCTATTTTGTCAAAGAACTGTAAAAACTATATGACGTATGAGAGAAGAAGTACCATCTACGCTCTTTTTTTGAGCTCCAGAAACTCTCATCATTTTAACTATAAATAGTTGAATGAAATTTAAAAGTTTCAAATAAGATATCAGCAACATTTGAAATTAGACATTTTTGCTCCCGAGTTATAGAAACCTTATTTACAACAGAAAATGAACTTTAATTTTTATTTAACACGAACACATAACATAACATTAACACATCCCTGGCTCCACTCCTATCAATACTAGCAAAAACGGAGCTCAACAAAATATGCGAATGTCACATTCTTGAAAACTATAGTAGAACGCTATAGCGCAGTAGGTCTGCTAACCCTTACTTGAAATTTCTTAAAAATATTGGATGATGTTAGCTTCCTAATCTCTCCCTCAAACGCGCTTGCTCTCATAATCTCCTTCTTTTTCCATCACTCCGAGATATCCCATTTTTACAATGGTTTCTCGTCAAATCGTACAATGCAGAAGGGATACACCATAACGTCAATGAAAAATGTGTAAATAAAAAACATTGATAAAATGTTTTACAAACGCTTTGCCCCGCAAACACGTCAACATGTTTTGTATTGATTCGGGCTCTGTGACATTAACTGATCTCAATCCATCTTACGAAAATAAGACTTTGAAATTCCGATTTATTATCCACTTTTCGATCAAAATGACACAACGGAGCAAATATTCGAAATGAACTACAAAATCCTAATTTTGCTCGTCTGTGTGTTTTTTGACAAGAAGTAACGAAAAATTTAACACTTTTTACAGTTTATCGTAAAAAATCCCTTCAGTCCTGAATTAAAAAGTCTGTGACAATATTATAAATTCAAATGCAGAATTTAATATAGAATGTTGAATGCTCTGTTCGATTTATTTGCTCAAATGTGTTACACAACGCTCAAATAGCAATCCTCATAACTTCGTTTATCGTTCAAATTACTGCGTAATTCATATTTTTCTATTTCTCAATGACTTCATGTGACTGCGGGTGACAATAAACGCAGGCAGAAGGTTCTCCTCGCTCAGCGGTTCTCCACTTGGACCTCCTATTGGACGTGGCTCCCCTCCCAACTTCCTCTTTCTCCAGTCCGGTCTGCTCAGCGCTCCGCAGGCGGCTGCCTTCGTTACGACTCCTTGTGGGAATCCCTGCCGCCTCCCCCCGTCCCCTCCGCCTGCTGCGGGGAGGGGGGTTGTTTTAAACACCCGCTACAGATCCTCGGTTCCGCACAGTCGGTCGAAACGAACCACGCGGAGTTTTATTGCATCTCAAATAGTTTGGAAGTGCAACAACCGCATAATCTTCCGTTTTTAAGACTTCGCATATTATAAAGTTTTTTTAATACGCTTGATATGTTTTATGTTCATTTATTTATTATTTCCAACATTAGAATATTTTCTTATTCATTATCTGTTATAATTCGATATTTATTTACTTTAAGAAAACCACCAACTATGTGGCAAAATGTGTATTAATATTTCACGACGAAATTTGTTTTTCCAGTTACGGAATAAAGAAATAACAGGTATATCCGATTGATGTATATTCGATATTAAGTTAACACTTGAAATTATACCATGTAAAATTTTATTAATAGACAATTTGTATTTATTGAACTTAAAAAATTAATTTAATGGGGCGCTTTTTGTGCAGCAATTCCAATAGAGAAATATTTTAACTTTGACAACATTTATTTTACCCTTTTTGCTTCGTGAATGTTGAGGTCCCCGTTCGCCCACTGCGCTCCCCACTCGCCAACGCCTCGTTAGCGCCTCTTTCCAAGTCCTTGCGCAGCGAGTCTGCCTCGGTCTCCCCCGCGCGCTGCGCTGCTTATTTGCGGCCGGAACGCAAAGATCTGCGTCTTGGCGCCAGAGCGGTCGCCGGCGCCGCGGGCACGTGATCTGCCTCCCAATGCCGAGACGCGACGGGGACGTCGGGGCGTGAGAGAACTCGCTTTGGTACAATCGCCAATCAACTCCACCAGTGGTCTTCCTCGATGCATTTTATTACGGAGAAACACTGGGAGTAAATTGTATTGAGGGATTGAAACAAAGGGGAAGATTTTACAAATTTTAAGAAAATGTGGTTTACTTTGTTCGTGTTTCCTGATTAAAGCGATAAAGAAGCAGAATCATTATTAAGAATGTTACGTCTAAAACCATACTACTTCACTTAATTACAGATTAAGTGACAGTACTAGAAATTAATTATTTGTAGTCAAATTAACACTCATCAATATCTGGAACACCAAATCATGCAGCAAATTATTATGATAATGATTGTTTTGTAAATATAAACGAGTATTTTTTCCATTGTTAAATATAAAACAAAACTTGATATTAAAATGTATAATACCATGAAAAAATGCTTCAAAAATAAACCATTTACAACGATAATTATATAATAAATGCAATAATTTTTATCAGTACCTTTATACTTGTACGATAATAAATGAAAAGTTTACATTTGAAAATAAGCTCCAAATTTAACGATGAATATATGCTCAATCGTCAAATAAAGGAATGTGAACTACATAAACTATATGTAGAACTCTCTCATAAGGAGGTTGATGGTTCAATGCTTTGCCTCGAGATGGTATTAACGTCTACACTTTGTGAAAGTAGACACTGAAACTGGACAAAAGCTCTTGAGTTCTAATCCTTTTCTGAAACGACTGTGACAGCATCGGTCGGTGAAACATTAATTAAAAATTTAAAAATTGTAATATTGACTTTATTCTATGCTTCGGGTATTACTGCATCTATTTGACTTATTAAGAACCATGACAATCTTCTTCGCAAATGACACTACATTTATTTTGCTCTTATTTTTCTTTTATCTCTTGGTTCTCTTAGTCATCTTTTGGTCTATGAGATTTAATATTTTTACTTTTAGAGGTTCTTGTTTATTAATATATATAAATTTGATTTCAACTATTTATCGAGCTCTGGGATTAATAATAATTTATCTAAATTTTATCATCAAAATGAAATTAATTTCATTTCTATGTTTCTTGTTTTAATGTAATCTTTATCATCCCAGAAGAATATTCCGTCATTCAGTGATTCTACCGTTTTTTAATCATAAAAATCTATCATTCCGTCTTCAACACCTCTTCTCAATAAAATCATCTCAAGTCATCAAGAAGATTATTTCAATGATACTCACT